AGTAGTAGTCTCGCCAGGGGCGGACTGGCACTAAAATTTTTGTGTGGAAAATTTATTATCGGCCCAGCCCATAAACAAAAAGAAAAAAATGTATTTTTTTCTATTTATATTTAAATATATTCAAAATACAACACTGATGAAAATTACAAGAAGCACAAGTCTACATTCTACAACATTAATTTTTTATTTAGAAGTTTGCTTTGTTGAGCAGTAATATTAATTTAATGACATCATCAGAATGTATTTCGTTTAAAAAATCCTTCTCCACTGACATTAACATGAAGGCTTCTAGATTTTCTTGCGATATACTTATAAGTATCTTAGCCTGCTTTTAATTAATTTTAACATTGAAAAGCTTTGTTCACGGGACACTTGTGTTACAGACAGACAGTAGATATTTGTATGCTTGACCAAGTATAGAATAAGCGCCACTTAATATGTTATATCTGAATAATATGTTATAGCAACAAATAGGGCAATTTTTGCAAGCAATGCAGTAAGAGGATAAAATCGCATCTTTATTAGTTTCTACTTGATCATCAGTAGAACGTTCATTTTCGTTTAATTTTATGAAAGTTTCACTGACATTTTTCTTTAAAATATTCCATGACGATTTAAAATGTTGCAATTCTGAAATAATATTGTGTTGAGTTGCTATTGGATTAATTAAGTGTATTAAAATACTGCTTAATTTTTTAAATGCATTTTCAGGAATATTTGGTGACGGTCTCTTAAATTTTGGGCTAATGTGCTTTGAACTCGCTGTAAGATGACCGTCGAACTCTCCCCGGTTGCTCTCTCTCCCACCTTCCACGATCTACGATCGAGGACGTGTGAATTTGGTCCGGGAATGCGACAATCAAATCATTTTACACTCGTTCCTGTTTACGAAAGAAATCATCGATTTATTAGAGAGGTTGCGGCCGAAGTTTTCAACGCAAAAACGTGTACGTCGGTCGTTCAGTGCCGCCTTTCTGTGAGTCTAGAAGTTTGACAATGGCATTTGGAACGTCGAGCATGATTCCACTGACGTTCCAAACGCCGTTGTCAAACTTCTAGACTCACAGGAAGGCGGCATTGAACGTCCGACGTACACGTTTTCGCATTGAAAACGTCGGCCGCAACCTCTCTATTAGCTTTAGGGAGACAACCAGTTTTCCATTGGAGAGGGGTGAGGTCCCGGCCTCATACTACAAAATAGATTATTTTTAATTAAATAGTTTGGAATATAGAGAAATTATTATTGAATAACATTTTTTACTTACCTAAAATAAAAGAAATAATATAAGTGGCCATTAAATTTGTTATGACTACAATCATCGCTTTGGTGACTAGGTACAAAACTAATAACTCGCATTTCCGTAGTTTAGCATTAAGATTCATAGGAGTAGTGAATAGTTTCTAACATTGTAAACAAATGACCAATTTTCTCTGTTTAGAAGGTAGTTTTGATTATTTTTCTCCAGGATGCTTTCTGTTTGGGTCGAATTGGGCTAATGTAGTGTTTGACTCAGGTCGGCCGAACTAATTTAACTTCCGATACGGGTAGGGCCAGATATAATACAGGCCTACACATATTACACCTAAAAATTGAAATTTACCTTACTTAACGAAAAAAATAAATGAATTTTTTAAAATTAAACTTAACCAAACGGTACATTACGTACAGTACATATTTAGAAAAAACGGCCCAAATTGTATACGGCCCATGTGGAATTTTCACATTTTCCACATGGCCAGTCCGCCTCTGAGTCTCGCCCAGTGCGTATGCTCTGCGGTGATGACATTTCGAACGAAATTCTAACGAAGTTCACAAAGGAAAGAGTTAGTTTACTTCGTTAAGAAAATGGCGCCCGACGATATCGATGTTTCTAAATCTACTTGAGTGTTTAAATTGTGAATTAAAAGGTGAAATGATTGAAATAACTGTCCGCCCGAAGCAATCTAAGAAAAATATTTCGGATAAGGCTGAACTAGCAACGTTCATATCTTCGATTTTAGAAATATCCATTTAGTTATAAACGAATCGTTTGAAAAGTCTAACGAAATAAGAATAACGATAACGTCATTGTCGTTTAACTTGTTCGACTTTACGAACATAACCTCTGTTAGCAATAGAGACATGCCAGTTATCTAACTCCATTCAGGAGAAATTTTTGAATTGAAGTAACGTGACTTCCGGACCAAACCAGAAGTTCGTATATAGTTAAAGTGGACTTCCTGCCCTAAGCTTTTAATATTTGGTCTCGATTTTCATCTAACTCTTTTCTCGAGAGTAAGGAAGGACAGACATACAGAGGGAGGACAGTGAAAATATATAGGTCTACAGTTTCTTTCAAATTGCACCATCGTTACACAATTTTTTCATGACCATCCTCACTTCCAGGAAGAGGTCAACGACTACTTTTGGTCGAATTACTTCAAATCCCTTCCGCAACAGTCCCTTCTTTTTATTAGATCAGTGATATGGTGGCATTTGAAATAGGAAAATTACGTAATAAGAGGTTACCAGCAAGCACAAAATATGATTTAAGTGGTTTTTGAGGGTACCGAGTTTAAATTTTAGGTCTGTTTTTTGCGAAATTTGATTGTTTGGCAGATTACCGTTTGATATTTGGTTGCAAATGGTACAATTTCTTGGAGGTAACATTAGGAAACAAAATATGATATCTTAAAAAATTTAAGATATCATATTTTGTTTCCTACGAAATTACGATATCTTAAAAAATTTAAGATATTGTATTTTCAATTGGTGTCAACTTGACCATTGAAAGTGTGTCATTTTGTATCATCCAAGTATTGCGATAAATAAGACAATAGTAGGATAAAATAACCAAGCTGTTTATATGGTTTTCATTTTAATGTTTGTTATATTATAGTACTGTATTTGATTTTATATAACTACAAAGGTTATCTTATGGTTTATCATACCGAGTGCCCAATCTAACACATTTAAAAAATTCTTTATCTTTGTAGTTATATCAATCAAATACTATAATATAATAGAAGGGTTAGAAGTATGAAATAATCTAATAATCTTAATCCTTGTTCTTGTTATGTTTTGCCCAGGCAACACCAGGTTTATCTGCTATGTTCAAAATAAATGTTGGATTGGAAAAGTTTTTGTTTTTTGTAAAAACTAGTCTATATACAGTATTATGTAGATTTAGTAAAATTATTTAATTTTAGTAGAGCTTACCCAGTGCAGTGTAAATTATATTTTAAATGTTAGCAAATAAATTTCTATTAACAAACATCATTATTTTAAGCAATTTAGGTCTCTTTCAGAAAGATTACAGTCTAGAAAAGTGTTTAAAATTTATTAAGGAATATTATTTATTACTTCTAACCCTTCTATTATATTATAGTATTTGATTGATATAACTACAAAGGTAAAGAATTTTTAAAATGTGTTAGATTGGGCACTCGGTTGTTGTTTAATTAATTTGTTTAATTAATTTTATATTAAAGTAGTCCAGTAGTGGATCTCATAAAGTTGTATTTTTCCTCACCTCTATTTTGTTGCTAAGAGAGAGCTTCAGTCCTTGTTATACTGCTAATAACTTTTGCCCAAAGTAAATCTTGGTTTTCTCAAATTACTAGAGAAACTGTTACTCAATGGAAAGTGATCTCCAATAAATGAGTTTTTGTTATTTTAAAAGTTTTATATTGTTCATTACTGTATTTGTAAATCTTGTCTATTATATATTCCTTTTATTAGCTATATCCTTTGTAATGTTTTTCCATTAGATATTTGCAAATTAAATAGTTATTAGTGTTTTAAATTTTTGAAATTAAATAGAAAATTTTTAAACATTTATAATTAGTGTTACAACCCATCCGGTCTTCACCTGGACAGTCTGGGAATCGACTCACTGTCTGGGTGAACTACTAATTTTGTCCGGGAATATTGTGCACAACCTGTCAACCTTTTTTTTTTCTTTTTTGCTTTTATGATTTATTCGTACACGTCTCCAATATCCAATAGAGCCAAGTCATCTGTAATAGAGCTAAGATTTTTATTAATTTAGTTGCTTACATTACTCCTACCCAAGTCTCCATCCCTAGTCCCTAACTGTAGCAGCCGGATAGCCAAGCTGTCAAGGTGGCAGCCTACCGCTCTGGGGAACCCGGGTTCAAATCTGAACAGGTCAAAAAATCCCCAGGAATTTTTCGGGGGTGGTCCGTTCGGATATGTCGGGCCCGTCCTCACCAACTGGCAGCCCCATTGTGGGCCTGGCCAAACCCATAATGGGCTTGCAAAAAGAGGCCCTCTTAGTGCCCACAGGGTGGAAAGAGCTAAAAAGAAAAAAGTCCTTAACTGTAACTGGTTTAGAACTGGCATGCACTGCATGTTATTCTTTGCATTGCAAAATGACATTGCGCATGCATCAGGAACTTCTGTTCGAACAAATCTCACCTGCCATCCGGGTTAGCAATTTTGAAAAGGTGGCAACACTACTTGTAATCATTACAAGTAAGGATATAAAGTTGGGTAATCAGGTTTCTCCACTTCTGTGGACTGGCCTTGCTTTTAATATTTGATTTGTACAAGCAAATTTTGAATAGTTGAATAAAACAATTTTGTTAACACAATATAATATCACCAGTTTATAAGATCAATAAATAAATAAATTTTTAAAAATAACTAAAGTTTAATAAGTTTTAGACTCCATTTTCATTGATTCTGAAATGTGTCCTTGGTTGGATTGTAAATATGGTCACCTTTATAAAGAAATACCATGTTAGAAAATAATTTTAAATGTGTAACTTATTTGCATATAACATTAATAAAGTAGTATATAATATTAATAAAGTCAATCTTTATGTAAGTTATATAATTGTTTTGAATATACTTTTAACACTTCAAGTGTAGGTACCGGTACTTTGTACAAAAATATGTATGTGTATTTTATCATATTATAAAATATGACATTTATTATTGTATTTGAAATAAATTGTATTCATTATTATTAATGCTATAAATATGTTTATTGCAGCTGGTATAAACCACAAACAACACGTGAAAATTATTGTTGTTTAAGTGCTGTTATTTGTGGGGTATTAGCTTTGATCTTTTTAATTTGTGTAATTGCTTTAGCTGTAAAAGTAAATAGTAAGTACCTCCTTTAAATTTTAATTTCTTTTGCAATTTGTGTAAAAGATTCCTTCTTTATGATTTCCAAAACTTTTTACAGAAAAATCTGAAGTTATAAATTCTGAAGATCTTTGTTTGACTTCACAATGTTTAACATCAGGTTTGTATGCGTGTTTCATGGAAATGTATAAATTTTATAAAATTTATATTTATTTTTTAATATATATATATAATTGTGGGTTAAAAGTAAGAGAGATCCTTTCCAGTACCTCCTCTTACTTTTGACTCACATTTAAAGTCCTTATATACCACAAATGCAAAGAAAAGACAGGTTAATATTACGTACTTAAGAGATGACTTCCATGTTCAGCTTACTATGTAACGGAAAAGAGCCTCCCAACCCCAGCAGACTTCTGGGCATATATAGAGTTCCCATCAGGAACAACATGATAGGAACACCATAGCCCTTCCTACATATGCCACAGATCCTGATATTACAGAAGACTTTTCCAGAGCAGAACTCATCCTTACTAGTACACACGTAGAACACCTCAGGTGGCTAGATGAGGTGGAGACTTTAAAGCTTATTCCATGTCCACTTGTATAAATTTTAGAGAGGAGATGAGTTTATTGATGGCTTGGCAGGCTTTATTTCACAGTGGAATTTAATTGTCTATCTTATTCAAGGAATACAAATGTGCAGGAATCCCTTCTTCTAATTTTTTGAACTTGCAGTTCAATTTTATATTTGAATATTGTATTCTAGAATGAATTTTGAATATCCTGCTAATTCGAATTTAAAAATACCCAAGGAAGAACATGGAAAGAGTTAACAAAACATTTGCTATTTGATGTTTAACTTTATTTTGCACTAGTTGTGGGATTTTGCATGGCATTATCATCATCCTGGTGTGGTTTGCAGATATTTAATACCTATTTTTGCTGCTTCTACCTCACAGGATTGGAAATGCCTTCCAAACCTCCTCCACATCATTCAACTCCTCATCCACTTTCCCCAGTTTCAATTTTAAAATGCTGTCTATACTCATCTTTTCTACTTATCAGGCACTCTGCTTTCACTTTCTGCAGAGCCACTGTACAGCTCTCAATCTATCAATATACACAACAAAATCTATTATACTCCTCTGACTTTTTGTATGATTTTCCCATATGTACTGATGAATGGTCTTATATGGAAAACCTTACCTATAGGTAGGGTTGCCATAATTGCCAAGCATTGATACAGGACATTTATTTAAGTGCTAAATAAATAAAACATGGAAAAAGTGGATAGGTAATAGTTTATTGGTTTTTTATCAGAGGAAAATAAAGTTTAAGCAATCTAATAAAATGAATATGTAGTGTGAGAGATGCGCGAATACCGGAGACAAAGAAACACAACTTTTATGATATGAAAATCTTTAATTCGCGCACAGAATACCGAAAATGTGGTTCGGATGCCAGCTACAATCTCTACCCTTGAACATTTACTTAAATTCAGTAACAAAATTTTTACGGACCAGTTATATAACGCGACAATTTCATAGTTTAATGACTACTCTACTTATAGAATATACAATTATACCTTATAACTAAGCTTACGGCTAATTATTATCTAAAGATGAAAATTAGGTCTAAGACAAGATAGGAATTGAAATATCAAGATGAGAGAAAAAGGTCGGGTACCCAATGATTTTGGTGTGCTTCACGGGGAATTGTAGTAAGTGGGGGTGAGCCTCTTGATTCACGGCGAAAGATAATTTCTTCCCTGTGGAAATTTTCTTGGTCTTCACTATACACTTTAAAACGCACGAAAACCCCCTTCTCAGTTTTCGTTAGCCTCCGTATTCTTTTCTCCTCGAAAAGTCCGTTTGGTCTCCACTCGGTTCAACAACCCAAGAGCCTTCTTCACATGTCTTTTCCTGTCCTCAACTACCTCCAGAATGAACTCTTGGACCCCGTTATACCCTGAGGGTTACGCACCTTCCCCTTTGTTACACAGGGGTCACCTGCTGTTACACCGTTAAACAAAAGTAGGGAGAAACTTCCAGAAAGAAAGACAATAGAAATGAAGACAAAGGGAAATATATTTAATAAAAATATAAACTATAACTATACAATTATGGCATGTAGCCACAGTAGAATAATAAAAAAGATGCAAGGCTAATCCTTTCTAGCCAAGTCATATTTTAAAGGTGATTTTACTTTCTTAATTATATCATTTCTTCTTTCACATAATTATAAAATTGGATCAAATCATTTTAAAATTATAATGACAAATCAAAATTGCTTCAGTTGTCTCCACTGACAACTTGTTTCTTTCATCCAACTATTGTATTGATAGGCCTATTAGGGAAAATATTCTTTTCACATTTGCATTGTGGGCTGGATGGCAAAAATGTATTTGCATAGCTTTATTAGACATGACTTCTGATCAATGCTTTGTATCTGCAAAAACTTCAGTCATTTCTCTTCCATACTCAATTTTATAGTTGCTTTGCAATTTTGGTTGGTATCATTTTTCTCTAAATAATCTTTTAGATATACAAAGTGGTTGAAAAGAATCTCGGTATTGCCAATATCAATGTTTTTTACTTGTAAATTTGCAATAGTACATTCTATTTCTTCCCATTCAGGAACTTGGTTGAGAAAATGGGGCAAAAATGGAACAAATAGTAATGCAGGACTGCGTATTTGAAATATGGTGACAGTCCTACCTAAAGGTTTCATTCCACACAAAGCTCAACTAATTTCTTTTCATTATACTTTTTTTCTGTTATAATTAGGGTGCAGCGTTAGTGAAGCCTCTTCTATGTGGCTTACAGAATTGTTCATTCTCAAAATCTGCTTGATTAATTTTGATTAAACTTTGCCATTTTCTATTAATTGCAATGAGAAATCCAAAATCTAATAAAAACTGAGTGTCCATCATTTCATTTTCAAGATATAAGGTAACAGAAGCAATAGTGTTATCTCACAAATCACATGACTTTGTCATGCGATTTTCCATGGTTGCTAGCACATCTATGGGTTTCACTGTAGAGTCAAGTTTGTTCTCAAGATTTAATGGGCCAATTTTGATAAAACTTTGCCATTTTCCATTAATTGTGGTAAAGAATCCAAAAATATAACAAGAGTCCATTTAAATGTAAAAAAATAGGAGTCAATGACTTCATTTTTGATGTACAGAGGTATTAAAGTGACAATGTCTGTGCTCTCTGATGTAACTGAGCATGCCTAACAAAATTTAGGCCTAGGATCAAGAATAAAAACAGCATTACATGCACCTAATGGAAAATAGGTGCAAAATCGAACAAAACACAAGAAGAAAGCAATTGAAGATGATTGCTTTGTTTTCTTGGATCGCTTCTCTGTGGCAGCAAGGATTCTCTCCCATGGCTTGCAGGTGCAAGGATAGACTCTTCTGTGCCTAACAAGTGTAGGGATTGCTTCTTTCTTTCTGGCTTTACCTCAATTCTATTGCAATATGATAGTTGCACAATTCCCTAGTATATAAAATTTTATATTTATACATCCCACACTTAATGCTATTAATCTTTGTATTCAAAATTTTTATCAGTTTTAAATTCAAATGTGCATTGAAAATTTTAACTCATTTTTAAAATTTTTACTTTTATTATAATATACAGGGTGTATCAGAAATTTGGGGGATTGTAGAGGATGAAATTTTGAATGTTTTGATATAAGGAACCTATAGCTGGAAATGTGCTATAAAGTTTCTACAGCACTCTGCACGTTCTATGCTGTCAGTATGCTGAATGAAACAGCAGAATACGGTATTTATGACAAGTTTGTACTCTACTGTTTTGTCAATAAATCAAACTGTACATTGAATCAGTGGCTGCACTACTTAAGAGTAAATGTTCAATGTGACAACCACCAACTTTGTTACATAATGTGCAATGACAAACCATGTTTTATCCGACTCTCTGTAAGATGTCAAGCTCCCCTCTGATGGTATTAAATGCTGTAAAGATGTGCTCTGTAAGCTCATGAACTGTTCCTACGGGTGTTCTATACACAAGAGACTCACATTGACTAGCTGTGTGTTTACAGCACAGCTCCAGTGGATGCAAGGGGTGACCTGAAGGATGACACGCTAAGTACACAATGTCCTGTACACAGGCTCAATTAGACCACTGTAGTTGTGTATTTACAGTCTTCCATCCGCAGCAATAAAATGACGTCAATGGACGGAAGGGTAGCTACCAAAGTGAAGGGCGGTCAAGCACTTCCTACCACTGTAGACACTTTAGTTCAAATTTCTGGCTATAGGTTCCTTATATCAAAACGTTCAAAATTTCATCCTCTACAATCTCCCAAATTTTTAAAACATCATTCTGATACACCCTGTATATAAAAACATATTTATTAATAATTTATTTATACAAAAAATTTTTTAATTAAAGATATTCATTATTCACTTTATGCAATTTTCGATAGCTGCAACATTATTAAATTCAATGAATAATTCAGCGGATCCATGTGAAGATTTTTATTTGTATTCCTGTGGAAAATGGATCAAGGAACATAAAATAAATGAACTTCCATCTGAAAGTTCATTTTATAATTTACAAGACGAAATTTACATGACATTAAGAGGTAATTATTTTATTTATTGTATTTCATATTGATTTAATACATAAATTAAAAATTACTTTTTAATAATATATATATATATATATATATATGTTACCATGAAAGACCAAAATTAGAGAATGTCAATATTCTCCAGTAAATGTTGACACATACAAAATACATCGGTGAAAGACTGAATATTTGGTTATATTATTATATATTCGAACAATCGCTGGTGTATGTCAACAAGCACAGATAAGCTTTGGTGGAGGTTGAAACGACACCTGAGAAGCCGATGTTGACAGAAAGGAGACAGTCTGTTGCCAAATCCTTTGTTCTGCCATGATTAAAATCACATGATATCTATTTGTTATACTCTGGACCACTGCTGTTTGTCAGTCTTATGTAAGGTTTGCTGGTGCATGCAACATTTTCTTAAATTTTATTTTTTATCCAATACCCTAATTTATATTGAATGGATACTGCAGTGAACCAAGAACTTTTTTCTTGAAAAGTTATGTGCATTAATTGCAAGTAAACAAAAATACAATTGTTTTTATTTTTCTCAAGAAAAGTACTCTAAAATACTTTCTGAAGTGATTTCTGCTAAAACTAAGTGCAGCACACCTTTGGATTACAGACAATTAAAACTTTTTGATGTTTTAAAAATTAATGATGAAGAGAAATTAATTGTACCATTAAAACTAGGAGAAACGAATATACTGTTAGACTAGATATTGCTTTTCAGAGAGATTAGTAAAAAGGCAGTTGGATTAATGTAACTGGTTGTGTAACAAAAGAACAGAGTGCACAAAGATTACACAGTCTTTACTCATGGAAGGTCAGAGCTAGAAAAGGGGAGAGTGAAATGAGGTCACCTTTCCCGAGAGGTCAAGAATGCCACCAACCTTTTATTATATCAGAAGAACATTACAAAACATCGCGATCGTTGATTCCAACACACCCCCTCAATGATTGTTTGTTAATACAATCCGATATTGCGAGTAAATTTCTTAACCTTATTCATGTCTAGCAGCTTTGTTAACAAGTCGGCTGTCATCCGTTTATTCGGACAATAGATTACAGTAATTTCTCCTGAATTCTTTAAATCACGTACAAAATGGTATTTTGTGTCGATATGTTTCTTGCGCTGTTGTGCTTTTTCTAATTCTAAAAGTCGAATACAACTTTGATTGTTCTCAAATATTTTGATAGGTGTTGTAATTGGTAGATTTATTTCTTCTAGAAGTCGTTTCATCCATACAGTTTCTTGAGTAGCTTCTGCAAAGGCTACGTACTCCGCTTCAGTGGACGAAAGTGCTACACACTGTTGCTTTTTACTAACCTAATGGATAGGACTTCCTTTTAGCAAGAGCAAATATCCTGTGAAATATCCTGTGCAAATATCTAGACGATCGCCTCCCCAGTCGGCGTCTACATAACATTTAGGTTCTAATTCTTCATAAATGTTGAATTTACTGGTTAAAGCTGTATATTTGTTTATGAATGGTTGTCTCTTTAATTCGACAAATTCTTTCGGTAGACTATCTTACAGCATCAGGTTAATGAATTCTTTTATTATATTTTTACATATGCATTTCGAACTGGTTTCATATATCCAATTCCTCTTCAGTGTTCTTTAAGGATTTTACACATTTCCCTTTATCTTCAGTTAGATTGTTACAGTGATATGGCACTTTCATTTTATCACATTATATTGCCTACTTTGGTATGAATCATAGTATGATTTAACAATTGAGGTTTATTCGAAAAAAATATATATTCTACTAATCTTTAGTTAGATTGTTACAGTGATACGGCAGTATCACTGTAACAATCTAACTAAAGATTGGTTTAGTAGAATATATTTTTTTTTCGAACTAAAGGTTGGTTTAGTAGAATAACAATCTAACTAAAGGTTGGTTTAGTAGAATATATTTTTTTTTCGAAAAAACCTCAATTGTTAAATCATACTACGATTCATACCAAAGTAGGCAATATACAGTGGTACCTCAGAATACGAAATTAATTCGTTCCGAAACTGAGATAGTATCATGAAAATGTCGTAAGGTGAATCATTTATCCCCATACGATTACATGTAAAACCAAATAATTCGTTCCAACACCAAAACACACTCAAATTAAAGCTAAGTAGTACATTAAAAAAAAAGTATAGTAAGGAAAACACTGAAAAATGCATTTTGTAGTTCTAAATATATAAATAACCATAATAGAATAATAATTGATTAAAAAAAAAATGTAGTTTTATTTGCACTTTACCTTTGAGGATTGACGACGGTGAAGGTGTAAACTGGTGGCGAAAGAGAGGGAGAAGGGAAATGATACTAAAAACTTAACTTGCATAACATAATGCAACAATAACTTAAAAATAACTTATAAAACAACACTAATTTTTTATCTTTTTTTTATCTTTTTTAATTTTTATTCACTGCTTTTTGCTTTCTTTCCTTCACTTCCACCAGCACTTTCACTGGATAGAGGTTGCTTGGTAAAATATCTGTTCATAGAGGTTTGGCTTTGCCTACTTTTTAAAATGTTTCTAAAATGACTTAGGCAAATATCATTACTCCGAGCAGCAATACGGCCAACATGAACCTTTTCAGGATGTTTCTTTTCAATAAAATCAGTCACTTTCTGATAATACTTCAAGATTTCCTTTATCGATCGAGATCCTTCCATGACGAAACAAGCACGCTGACTGAGACCAATAAACAGAAGTGAATAAAAAAAATGGCACTGTGAACTAATGTAACGTCGTATGGTGAGTTTTTGTTCGTATCGTGGAGCAAAAATATGTTCGAATTTCATGTTGTATCCTGAAAATTTCGTATTCTGGGACGTTTGTATCCTGAGGTACCACTGTAATGTGATAAAATGAAAGTGCCGTATCACTGTAACAATCTAACTGAAGATAAAGGGAAATGTGTAAAATCCTTAAAGAACACTGAAGAGGAATTGGAAATATGAAACCAGTTCGAAATGCATATGTAAAAATATATTAAAAGAATTCATTAACCTGATGCTGTAAGATAGTCTACCGAAAGAATTTGTCGGATTAAAGAGACAACCATTCACCAAAGANTAATTATCTTAATCCTCACTATCGTTACGTTTTGCCCAGCAAAGCGGGTTCTTGCAGCTAGTATTCTTATAAAAATGAGACTGTACAACAGATTATAGATTTAATAAAATTATGAAAAATCGAAATTTTTGTAGGTATGAAGTCATTCAACCCATGCCAAAAGTTGCTTTACAACAGCATCCAAATGGAAGTTATTATGGAATGATGGGACAGATAATTAATAAGGTATTTGTAGTTAACTATTTATTTATACTTACAAATATTGACGTTCCATGAATTTTCTTATTGTGTTTATTTTTCTGACAGGAAGCAGACATGTCCCCTTTTCCTGTGTATATGAGTAAGAATGTCTTTGACTTGGCTGATTATTCTTCGATTACTCACATGATACCGATACATTTTATAATTAAAGAACAGAAATTGAAGCCGACTTGGAAGACTATTTTTAGACCATTTACATTCGAGGTAAATGATAATACGATTTTATAACGAGGTGATTTATCAATTTTTTTCTACATCTTCATTCAGAATATTTCAAAGTTTTGGAAATTCAGTTTATATAGTGTAGGTTCGAAACACTTTGGGCTATATCTTATTTATTAAAATATGTCAATAATTTTACATAATTCGTGCATTAAGAAATTTTGGTGTATTAATTCTTCAGTGAAATTTATTTAATTTGCTATAATTGTCTTCAAGAATACATTTTGTGAATTATCAAGAATATGTCACTTGTCTAATTTCACAAATTTTAAAATATCTGAAAATAGAGAATATCACACCAAAGTATTTGGTTTTGAGAATTGTGTATGTTTTTTGTCTAGTTTTTGGTATTTCGATATTGTTTTTCATGTCAGAAAGTCTTGTAAATCACGTAAAATTTGAGTATTTACTTATTGATGTTTCAAAACTATTTTCATACTTATGTATGTAACTTAGATATGACTGTAACACTTATTAGGCATTTCAGTTGATAATCTGTGAATATTAATTTTCCTTCGTTGATTTAATTACGTTTATCATTACAAAAGGATTTTATTCTGCCACCGATTTGGAAGACTTTTTTACATTAAAATTACATTCATATGTTTTGTTCAGTGGTAATATCAATTATGCTGCTTTATTGCAAGCCAGTTATATTCACGAATACATTTTACTACAATACTGAGTATTAAATGAGCCTTTGAAGGTTTTTCATTTTGCCTAATATTAGATTTTCATATTGTGGTAATAATGATGATATCAAATAATCTGTAATTTTTAGAATATTCATAATTTATTTTCGTTCGCTTGGATACATTGTAGCTTATGAGTTTTTAAATAGTTGTTAAAACCAAAATTATCCTTTCTCCTCCGCATAGATTTCATTTTAAGGCAAATTTTGGTAACATTTATAATATTGCAAAGTTAATTTTTTTTTTAATTTTACAACGAAATTTTTTCCAAATTAATTTGTTATCATTGTAATCGTTTTCTCTAATATTTTCTTTTTTTTAAACATGACGAACATGATAACACCGACCGACAATATATATTAGCATGACACAAACTAAATTAAACCCAACAGGGACCTGCTTCTATTAATGAAATTTATTTTCTAAGCATTTACAAAGTATATATTTTATAATTCCTTTATAGTCTTTACACAGGATTTTTGCATAGTAGAAGTTGTATAAGCAATTTATTATCACAAAACTTCTCATATTGCACTTAAGCAGCATAATCATCACTGTTTTTTATTTTTAAGGCAGTTTTGTAGTATTCAATATCAGTCTGGGGCATTCATCTGAACATGGATTTGATATCAGTCTTAGATTCAGAAATCTGTTAGTTCTTTTCAATGGAATTCTTAATACTATCTCTTTTCTGAATTACTGGAGGTAATCACATGTCACAAAACCTTTAATTACCAGTAATAAAT